ACCAAAACCATGCTATGCGTGAGGTTCAGAGGGCGCGTGAAAAAAAAAAAGGGTGTGTATTTTAAAAAAAAAGGTTGCGAGCGGTCGCTACTGCTGCTTGCGAACACTTTTTGTGACGTAGTAATACTACAATAGTACTAGCATTCTTAATAGTAGTGATAACACAAGTTTCTGGTACTAATTGTACTCAATCATACACAGTCATTCTGTTGTGGACACTTGTTTTCTGGACAAAAAAATAGTCATACTGGACACCTGTTCCCGGACGGAGGAGGAAGTAGTAGAGTTACTAAGTACGGGCCCCATAATGGCAAGTTATTTGCAATTCCGAACCTCCAGGGCCGGCTTGCTTGCCTGCAATGCGCATGTACCCCCCGTACATTACATTACTGTAGTACAAATCCTACGTAATATACGTACGAACTTGCCTACAGCGAATCAGTACTGAAATACTAAATACTTCCATCCAATGCCGCACCTCCACCAACGAAAATACGGAGCAAACACATTAAATTGCCTCATCCGCAACTCAACCGCAAGCGTTCATTCATACTCAAGGAACCGGCGTTTCTCGAAAATTTTGAGTCTCAAAAACCACAATTAGTTTCACCATCATAATTGCCCTTGAGGTCCAAATTAAGTAATTATGGTTTCGGCATCTCTTTTTAATGGTATAATTTCCAGCGAACCGAGAAACGAAAATCGAACCTGTACGTTCGTACCGTGAACTCCACATACGCTATGAACCTTGCTTTTCGTCTTCGACGAAATCAGTTTTTGTCGGTATGACAATTGTAGCAACACCTCAGGCTCCTCCTGTCGATTGTAATCTTAGTGTATGAATAATAATTTGATTTGACTACAATCTCAGCTTGCGCTTTGGATGAAGTTTTGATAGGCACCTCTATTCCACCACCATACCTAAGATCGGATTGCATCTTGCGCTAATCTTCAAAGAAGAAACAATTTCGCAGATGAAGTCACGGAACATGATGCATCAAGGCTTTTGTCACTATACCAGGTTCATAAAACTTGTAGCATTGCTGTGTGTTGGATTTTCTGCACAAAAGAAGGGCACAATATTTGTTCTATCGCAGTCAGTGAAGCAGTCTGAAATCGACAGCTGCACAAAAGAAACCGAATCATTGTATAGTAACTCCTTTGCGCTTGTCCAACAGAGCACTGAGATAGATATTTGGGCGGACACCCAGAGGATGACACCCAATGCTGTCTGCACCTCGCAAGACTTTACCAAAACAACATGCAACCTCGACTATGTAAATGCTACCGGTAATGAATCATCGGATTGGTGTTTGAGTGTTCCAAACACAGTATACGTCGAAACGACGTTCATATTGAGATGCACCGGAGACTTAAACCGTATGCTATTTTATTCCGTCCGCAATCGACCGGGTTGCTACGCGCATGTGACTGGTTCTTCTGTTTCTCCCTGCTACAATGGATACGACAACAGCATTATCGAAAGCATCGAACTTGCAACCTTTGATGCACTAAAGGACGAAATAAGTACGGCAACAGGCGACACCGGCAGAGAATGGGGAGATGTTGGTCAAGGATTCACCGGTTGTGATCAATTGCGGTTCGAGGTCACAGAACCCCGAGGATTGGACGGTGGCTCTGCTCTTACCTGCTCCGAAGCAACTTTAGAGATTCAATCATCTCCATCCATGTCCGATGCGGTTGCAGATCTCGACGAGCAACTCGGGATCGTCGTCTCGAATACCAACAACGGAGGGAGACAGCTCCGAGAATTTTCAAACCGATCACTTAAGCCACTTGCTTCAAATGATGGTATTATTGATTTCGGAGTCGTTTCCCACGATATATCTGCCATTTGTAGAGAAACATTGGAAGGGGCTTACCTTGAAATAAACTACAACATATCCTGCGGTGGAGATGAATTCCAGATACTCTCCGATCCGCTTTGCATTTCCAGTAAAGCCTGTGGCGTGACCGACTTTGAACTAGAATCAGCGTCTCATGCCACCGCAAAATGGAATAGAATCAGTAACAGCGATTGCCAGGTGCTTTCCACCGATTCTTCCAACAATGAAGCCGCGATAACATGGGAGGATTTCTCTCCCAGCCAGAGTCCCACTGCTACAACTTCACCCACGATTAGCCTCGCACCATCTGCGCAACCCTCATCCAGCTCGCCTCCATCTGCGAGCATAGCCCCGTCTCAGAACCCTACGGCTGTGAGCTGCGAGGATGAGAGCTTGAATCTCCTTGAGGTTTCCGCAAGTGAAAATGGTGTAGAAACCGATGAAATGAAAATTGCAACTGAGCTGGCCCAAGTGCAGATCCTCATGATGTCAGGCGACGACAACAACAACGATGGATTTGCAAAACATTGCATAAGTGTTAGCGGTGAGGAGAGTGATAATGGGGAGAGAAAGATGTCACCAGCTGAAGCTGATTTCTACTGCGAATTCAATTACGAAGACATCACTGGTACCAGCAACACGGAAAACTCCATCCCTTCCCTCTGTCGAAGGGCCGGTACTGTTTATGTGGAAGATTCCATTTCGATCACATGCACATCAGAAGACACTTCCTCTCCCACCACCACTAAAGTACTGGTTCAAAATAAACCTTCTTGCCGGTCCAAAAAGTGCAATGCTGATGATATTCAAGGGTTGGCAAATATTGAATTCCAGAGATGGATCAAATTGACACTGGAAAAAGGAAGAGAAGAGACATCATCATCGATTCTTTTAGGCCCACAGTCATGTGTTGTCGATGAGGAGAATGAAGAAGGAGAAGGGGGAGTTTCAGCGACTCTTGTAACATCGAGCACTGACTCGAGTGATAATGGACCAATCGAACCTACCGAACAATGCTTGATGGGTACAGGTTTTCGAAAGAGCATAGTCGGGCTGTTCGAAGAAATTGTGCATTCTGAACGCGGATTCTTGAGTTACCTTGAAAATGACTTCCGACAGATTTGTGGCTCGATAAAACCGGGAGTTTTGGATTGCAATTTCGATTGGAGTGAATTATTTCCGTCGTCGGAAGATGCTGTAAAGTTGAACTGTATGCCCAACGAATATACCGGGACCAATATCCAGGATGGATGCGGCGGCGGTGATGGACAATACATCGAATCAAATTTCCGCATGACTTGCGTCAAAGAGGACTCTGAAGTAACCATGATGAACAGAAACGTCCCAGAATGCGTGGGTAAACCGTGCAGTCCAAATCAGACCCAAAGTTTGATGGCGGACAAATTCTCCTCGCTGTCAAAACAATTCGAGGAGAAGTTTGCTGATGATAACTGGTCCTGTACGAACGAAGTAGTGTCACTTTACCCAGTTCATTTCGATTCCTTCCACGAGACCCATGACACCGAATGCTACAAGAACCTACAGTTCGAAGAACTTGATCCTGCTGACGTTGCAATAAGGATTCAGGAAACAACGATCGGAGGAACCAAAGATGAGAGAGAACAACACATGGCCGATCTCCTTGCCGGCGTTGACTCTTCTACATCCTTTTCAGATCTCATCCCCGGAGGTAACTCTTCCGATTACGATGATTCTGAATACGATGATTCTGAAAACGATCCGCTGGAAGTAGAAGACGATGTAAAAGAATCCCCTGCGGGGAATGCCGCCCAGTCATTAGATGTTCCGGAGGCAAAAGATAGACCGCTCATAGAGAGACCACCTGTGGAAACAATATCGGGTTTGGTTGGCCCTAGATATGGACGGTTGTTCGAGCCTCAAACCAAGGCGCCTGTCGAGACTACGTCTTCGGGCTCTACAATAACACTCACTGGGGCAATTGGCGTTCTAGTGTTTCAAATGCTTTGGTCGATACTGATATAATGAGGCCTACGTGCTGACGCTATGCGATACTGTCTTACTGGAGAGGTGCTGGTCGAGCAAATCAGGCATTAAGAAATCTATTCGCTCTTCTGTCCTATGAGATTCATGACACAGAGAGCATTATTGCTTTTCTGTACCGTGATAGTGTAATAGACTCTGTTGAAATCAGGTTTCATCGACCAAAACCTGATTCATGATAAGAAGATTTTTTTTAAAACTATTCTCCTTTGACTAAATCAAGCTCATTGGCTAAAATGGGAGTGTCTCTATTCCTCTCCTCCACTTTTTGGATCCAACATTGGTGTCTCGGATCAATACAGCGAGATCCATATTGACGGAGGTGTCTTTGCTGAAATCAGTGTCATCGTTTTCCAATGGAAATAGTAAAATCTTGGACAAATCAAGCATACCACCGTAAAATAGATTTAGAAGTCCAACAGCAGGTACGCTAAGGAGAAAGAAATTGATTGGAAGCAGTTCAAAGTAAAAAATCAGTTACTGAAGTTGAATACATACCTATCATCGTTTGACATGATAATGATGGAAAAGATACTTACCTCCACAATCCCAGTTCAGGGTACAGTCCGAAAGGTGCCAAAACCAAGAAAACGTCCACTAATATCTGAACAAAGTGCGCGTAAGCCAAAGGAATCTTCCCCTCAAGACTAAATCTGATGCTGGACATCGAATCTCTCACATCAAGGATTTTATCGGTGAATGTACCTTCCACTGTATCGGTGTCTGCGAATGCCCCCTCTTCTATTCCCTTTAACAAACGGATATAAATCCATTGCAGGGCTGCAAACTGTGGTCCAGACTCTTTTTGATAGGTTTTGATGAAACATATGTACTGCTCCCGTGTCATTACCCCCCGGCTCAGCAAGCGACTCAGTCCCTTCGGCGTTGATAAGATGTCATATTTTCTGGCGAAAGAGGCCCACATTAGTACATTGAATAGTCGGATGCACTCCGCAATGTCTTCCATGGCTCTGATCGATCGCGAATTTGTTTGTGTTAGTGTCTCTCTCTGCCCGAGATGAGCAAACCAATCTGCCCGAGAAAGAGCAAACGAGAAATGAGAAATAAGATACGATGCAAAGCAATATTCAGTGCGAACTGAGGGAATCGACCCAAATTCTTTACTCACGAAATACCATCTAAATGAGTTTGGATTCGACGCCCCTGGGTGTAGATATCTCTCCAAAGAGAGTACGCTTCAGCCAGGAAAAATGTCAGGATGAAGCTCGTTAAACCCATTGTTGTATTCCTGCATGGTGATATTTGGTATTTAAATCGGCATTTTTGTTCTGTTAGGGTATAAGAAGAAAAAATTATGACCAAACGACGAGTCGCGATAAGCGTGTAAATCCACTTACCACAATTTGTTCAGTCCCTCCAAATTAGCTATAATCGGATGCCCTTCATCTGGAATCATCCATATCGACCAGGTGATTGGCTGATGTAGCACATGAGTACAAAGCCATCAAAAGAAGAAAACGAACCCGATAGACATCATCATGTTCCAACAGGCTCCCTTCCAAGATTTATGAAGAATAGTTCCCTTCCATCTAGTCCAGAGCCATTTTCTTGTTGGTTTGAATGGTTTGATAATGTTTCCTTCATACCTCGATGTCACACCAGAAATTCTATCGATGACAGAATCAATTTCTTTCACTTCGCGTTGCATTCTTTCTTTTGGGGATTCGTCTCTATTTTGGGATACCTTGGTCGCGAGCGAAGATATACTTAAGCAATAGTTGAAAGTTTTTCGATGCAGACGGAACGCCGTGACCGGTGTAGCGGCTTTGATGGTAGCGGCTCTTGGTTGGTCGAATATCATGGCAAGGTCCCCAATCAGGCTTCCTTGTTGCATGACTCCGTAGTTCTCTTCCAATTGCTTGCCATCAATATAGACGCCGCATTCTCCTCTGTAGATTATGTACATGTAGTCTGCTATTTCATCTCCCTGCTCGCAAACTAATGAATTCTGTGAAAAATTAATGACTTCAAACGCATCGACCAATTCGGTTAAACGGCTGTCTTGTTCCCCCTGCGCTTCCGACTCTGTCGCAAAATAATCCACAAAGAGAAAATTAGATTGCAACACCTCTTTGATGAAAGCTTCTTCCTCTTGCGATTTTTTGTGCTTTGGCAAAGCACTTTTCTCTACCCCGAACACTCCATTTGGGGAAGATAGCACTGTATGAATACGCTTTGGCGTTTGACGATTTTGCTCGCCCTTCTTGTTCCGCAGGATAGAAAATGAATTCTCGCCAAGATGAGGGGAAATTGGACGCCGATAGATATTCGGATGTACAAATGCATCCGCGAAACTGCTGTTATTGGCCTTGCTTTCGGGCCAAGTCGCCAACATCAGTAGGAACGGAAAGCGCAAGACTGCAAATAGGGTATCGAAGACAGAATTCATTGTGCTTGTAGATTAGCGAAGAGAGCGGTGTGGAGGAATATTCATGTATTACTGTTCAATCAATACTTTTGCTTATTTTGAGATTGGCATCAAAGCAGCATCAGGATGAGAAGAAAGTCATCACCCCGCTCTTCGTACCCTACCGGCCGGTATGCTGATACGAGTTTAACTTGAGTAAAAAAACAGTCAAAATTAACGCTCGATTTTGGGCCCACTACTACTGTAACTTCGGCAGACTAGTTCTAAGCCGCCAGACCATCCTTCAGCATCCCAATGACCTGGATCACTAAGTAATTGTATCTTGATAGAGTTCTGGCCTATTTTCTAACCAGCAGCCGGTCTCGGAACTGGCCAAATTTGGCCATACAGGGTGTAAATGGAGAATCGCCCCCCCTCTGGCCCCAAATCGTGTAATAATGACATATGGGGCTGTTCCGAACACTATTAGGAAGCTCTTCCCCAAAAACAACTGCTCTCAGGCCATACCGGAGCAGTTCTAAATGTGCGGTCAAAAAGTGACCAAAAACTAGTAGATCTATGTAGGATCAGTACTAAAACACTGGGCCCAAAATTAACCGTGATGCTACTAGTAATAATTTTGGTGTTTGAATAGAATGCCTTTTTGCCCTGTAGGACGTGGTAGGGTTCAGACGGTTAACGCATTTTACTGAAATTGAACTCCTATGGCCTCACGGATTGGAAGGGAGATCTTCTTGATACCAAGGAAAATTATCGGATAACGTTACGTCACTGCTGCGTACTTCGAACATAGTACGAAATGCTGTAGATGCATATTTTCTCCGCCATCAAAACCAATCAGAATCCTTTGCCCCCTAGATATGCCCCCAAGCATTACGGTAGCGTACGTTCCACTTACTCCACCGATGATTTCTGATTTCTGATTATTTTGTTCGTGCGGTTGGATGATTTTTAGCGCGCACCTTGTCAGTCACATGTAGGAATATAACATATACGAAGACATATATAATTGAAGTTGTCGGAGTTGATCTAGCGGTGGCGCGCCCTCAACTGCTCTCTTCTCACATTTTTTATTCCAACCAAGGTGCACGACCTCTGAAACGCGAATTGTTTCAACAACTCGTAACGGTTTTCGTGAAACTGCAACCCACATCGACGTCTATCGTCAAGCATTTCGCCGACATCGACAACGATTTTGAATATTGTCATGCATCACCCTTACAAGTATCAAATATACCGCTTAACCATACAATTCATACTGAACATACAACAATTTATTTCGAAAAATCTTAGACGGGACAATGGCGAGAAGTTCTTTTCATCTATCGCTATGCCTGGTTGCCATTATTGCCTGCCTTTCACCGGAGAGTGCTCGCGCAGGTCTAAGTGCAACTGCTGAGAAGAATTCAAATCAACTCTATCACGAACGGAAGGAATCTTCAAACGTCGAGAAAAACTTCAACCAGCTACCATCAATTGAAAACGAAGTGGAATCGCTGTTCGACGAAGTTTCTTTCTATTCTGCATTTCAACCTTCACCTTTGGTTGACCAAACCGAACATAACAACGAGATCGAGGACGTGTTTCGGCGGGCACTGCAGTTTCAACCTACTGTGAATGCACCAACTTTTCAGGGAGCACAGGGCACGCGAAATAGAGGCACCTCATTCTTGGGTGGTCACCTTCAAGAAGTGGGCGTCTTCGGAGGTGTTGGTGCTCGCAGGGGAGGCGTTCGAGGCAGCGGAGGACAACCGCCACTTCAAGTACAGGACCAGGTGAGACTTAATGGACATGGCCCAATTCCAAAAACAGGCAAACAAAAAGTTAGCAGTCTCAAAATGGCTAAGTCCACTAAGAGTATCAAGTTTGCGAAAGACAAACACAAACAATTCAAGAAAGACAAACGATACAAAGGTAAGCTCGAGAAAAAATGCTGTGGCTTTGCGAACACAATAATGTATACACCATGGATTTATATACTTTTGCAGATCTCATTCGGTTTAAAATGTTTGCTGTTTCGTTAATAACAATTTTAGGGGAGAAGAGAGATATCGATCACAAATTGACCAAGAGTGGAAAGAAAGACGAAAAATTTAGCTACGACCCCTACGATGCAGACGATGACAATTTCCCTCTGCACGACGATTGGACTTTTGACTCTTGGTCATGGGAATGGGTGGAAGAAGATGATTATGAACATCACGACGCTAGTGCACAATTCAAAATGCCTGATTCTTCAACGCAACAAAGTAGTGGCTTTGGTGGTGCCCTAGGTGGCATGAGGGGGTGGCAAGCCGGTACGATCAATAGTGATATATCAGAAACCATGATGGGACGAATGGATTTGGGTGGATTTTCATCTATTAGTAATTGGAAGCCGGCCAGTGAAGCAATCGGTGCCATACCCCAACAGACAAACCACATGCTACATCAGACGGACGAAGCTAGCCAATCAAATGGTGTCACAACTGCACAAACTAATCATTATGGGCAGGTAACCCAGATGGGCGGAGTTAGTAGTCACACTGGTGTCACAACCGCGCACGCTAATCATAACAGTCAACCATCAGTCCAGACTGGTGAAGCTAGTCAATCAATCCAAGCCACGACCTCACAGTCCAATCATAATTCGCAACCAGCCCAGACCGTTGGATCTAGTCAGTCAATAGGTGCCACAACCGCACAGTACGATTATAATTCCCAACCTACCCAGACCGGTGGAGCTAGTCAGTCGAAAGGCGCTACAACCGCACCATACAATCATGTGACCAAAAGCAATCAACTGAACTTCCCTACTATTCAACACATGGTATTTTCTGGTCCAATCCATCTCAAGGCTCATTCACCAGTTGATGTGAGTACTATGGACCCCGAAATATTTGCTATCTTGCAATCAATTTTGACGCCATATTTACAAGAAACAATGGGACCTACCCTTCACGCCTATACATTGGAAGTGAACTACAGTCCCGGTCATGGCAAAAATGTCGGCAAAGATGTAGTGGAAACTTTGATAGAGGTCAATTGTGCCTTCAAGGTCATTAGCGACTCTGTTGAGTCTTTCAAGAGTATCAACCACGTGCAGGCATCTCGATGGATTCACGATTTTTTTGCGGGACCAGAAATCTACAAACTCCTTGAAGCACTTCGAACCGATAATATTCCTGTCAACGACATTACTTTCGTAGATCAAGCATTCCAGGTCAGCGCCACAGTCGCAGAAGCCAACAGCCAGATGGCGTCGGGAAGATATCCTGTGTCCAAAAACAACGAGAAGTCTTCCAATGGGGCTTTCATTGGAATCACCCTCAGCGTAGTGATCGTTGGAATGATCTTCTTTTTGCATCACACGGGTCGGCTCCCATCAAAGGCCCAAGTCGGTGCTTTCAGTCTTACAGCACGGGATTCCGTGGCAAAACACGGTGCCACAGCTCGTCACTCCATCGCAAAACATAGCAAGTCGGCCCGAAAGTCTATCGCAAAATGTATCCCATCCTCTATGAAAAGGAAAGAATCTAGATTAGGAAAGTATACTGACGACGAGGTTGAAGGAGGGCGAAGGAGAACCTACTCGGGAACGTTTAGAAGACACCCGCCTGGTGGGCTTCAGAAAGCTGCCTTGCAAAAGAAACCAGCGCGATCCGAAGAATATCTGGGAGAAAGCGCTAGCACCTCCTCTTCGTCGGCTGGGGGAGCTGCAAGGTCGTGTAGAAAATCTTCTTCCTTTACCGACATGCTCGAACAGGATGATTATTCCTTCAGTAATTTTGAAGGAGATTACGAGCCGTCAATTTGTGCCCCATCGACTCCGAGCCGTAGAACATACAACGGTGACGAAGCCAGCATGACGGATACCTTAGGATATGATTCTTCCGCCCATAGTCGATCCCTTTTAGACAAAGTGAGCAACACTGTTTCTCAAGCAGCATCCCTTTTGAGTCCAGGTAACAGTAGCTACAAACAACAAGATGCTTCGAGGAGTCCCATTCCTTCTTCGGCCCCAAGACGGGTTACTGCAGCTGACATTGCCTCTCCTAATGATGTAGACAATTGGTCCATTCAGAGCTACCAAACCAAAACCCCCTCTCGCAGATCCCCGTCTAATCATCCATTATACAGAGGATGGAACGATTCCGGCCCTGAATTGAGGATGCAGAAGTCTGAGATTAACGATTCCGAAGAATCTCCTGGTCGCAAAAGATTGAACATCCCCCGTTTTACTTAATGGGAGAACAAGATTCATGAAACGGCAATCCAAAGACTCAAGGTCGAACCATAGTACTCGTGCAGTTGCTTCACAGTAACGAACAATCCGAAAGATGTAATAATAAGTTAACTGTTTTCACGGTCTTTTTTTAAAGATCTCTTCCATCTTTCGTATGGTATTAGTAGCTTTCTGTAGCAGTTGGTACGGATTTCAGAAGTCGAGATACGCATGCAGATACCCAAATGCTAGAGCCCTAATTCATGTTAGTTGAAGAAAGAGCTGTTGCAATATCCCTTTTTCTCTTTTGTAGGTAGAAATATGAATTGTGCCTCTCATTGTTGCTGATCATTCCGGCAGTCTCCATTTCATCCCATGAAGGATAAACATGAATGTTCCTGCAAAATTTGAGATGATTGGCTTGCTACTGCAAATAGTTTTTATGGTGCAAAAACTAAGTTAGTGCCAGTAAGGTGGAAGTTATGCTCTGAAAAGAATGCAGTAGTTTGTCTGTCTGCAGTTTGTTTAGGTTTGAGGCCTTGATCAAAAAGGTGTGATCTGGTAATCTCTCTTGTTTATACTATTTATCCCATATCAGTATCACCAGCCCCTGATAGAAAACAGATGAACTGCTCTTAGTAGTTGCTCATGGTTGCCTTGAAATCTTCTACTATGGTGTATTTGAGGTGAGCAACAACCTGGCTAAATGCATTTCCTTGTTGTTGGTTTTTGCCATTTTGGACAAAATTCAACTTTGCAGCATACTAGTACGACTAGTACTACTAGTAGTACTAGTACTAGTAGTAGTGTCTGATGTCTTCCAAGTCTAAAGTAAATGTGAAGTTTTTCATAGCTTTTGCATTATCAGTCTCATCTGTGATAACATCAAAACCTTTGTGTAGAATTTGATACAAAACACTTATTGGAAGCTCATGTGGTTATATTTTGGTCAAGATTTGGGATGTCGTCTGTAGACAAAAACAAGTCACTTACTGTAGTCAAACTAGTAGTAGTTGGGGATCTGGTAGCTTCCAGTACGCGGAATTACGCTTTTTTGTATCGTCCCTGAGCATTCAGAAATGATGAAGTAAATTTAAGCAAAAACAAAAACCGCAGTACTCATTTGTACGAGGCGTATGGGGTTAACATTCGGAATGACCCCCCCCCCCCTTCAATTGTTATTTTATTATTTTACGCGTAGTAATCTACGCGCGGACGAAACTGCAAATTCGCAGTTTAGTACAAATTTAGTCCCTTACGTGTTAAATGCATATAATAAACTGCACAATCTACAGTGCAAACTTAATTGTGGTGTAAAAAAGGATCTAAGCATCCAATAAAGACCTAGTTTTTTGTAGATGAGGCCAGTAACCTGTTGCATTACTCTATGAGCAAGAGAGGAACCTTTGGGAAGTCCCTTTGGTTTGTCATAGGATCCCTTGATAAARCTGGACACTAACAATGTTGCAGCTTGTGACATCACATTTCTCATTGATGTGCCTGCCATTTGCCTTCTGGCACCTTGGGACCTTGCACCAGATGGCTTGATGAGTGATATTCCAGGTAAGAAACTCAATTGGCTGGTGTACTCTTTAAGAGCATGTCTGCAAATAGGTGTGGAGATTCCAATGGTCTTGGATCCTCTCTCTTCCATCTCATGTTGATGAAGATCCACAATATCATTTGAAAGATCCTGCACAGTGTCAACCTTCCCTGAATTCTGCAATACTCTATTGTTCAGACTTGGAAGATTGCCTATTGACACAAGTGCTGGCCTTCCTGGTTTAATACCCTCATCTCCTTTCAGTGGGAGAGTCTTCTTCTCATTGTACCTCCTAATCCATCTTTGAAGAGTGTGATAGTTGACAACACATTTCTTCCCTTCACTCAATATCTGCATGAGAGGCTTCACTGAATAATTGAATACTGGACTCTTTGTGTCAATCTGAGTAAGCACTACCAATTGTAGCAAACTATATCTTGATCCTTCTACATTGGGTTTCTCATAATTCTCTAATTGGGTTACAATGCTATCAGCTTCCTTTGTGGAGGACCTTCTTCTTTGTCTCTTTGCTGGAGGTGATACTATGGATGGGGTATTTGAATTCTTGATTGATTTCTCAAGCACCTGTTCAACCATAGACTTCCTCTTGTTCACCAACTTGACAGATGTTTGAAGCCTTTCATTGATGACTTTCTGCTTCTTTTCTTCAGCCACTGTAGTAGCAGATAGCAGGTCATTCGCCAGTCTGAAATTCCCATCATACTTGAGTGCTTGGTCTAGGAGCTCAACCACTTTACCAACTCCCTTTGCCATCAATTTGATCTTCAGGGGTAGCTTCATCAAGTCTCTTTTTTCTCCACTGGAAACAATGGTGAGAACTTCATCCAAGAAGGAAGAAAGATTGGTGAGGATGGTCTTTCCTTCAATGATGCTCTGGACCTTGAGCTGTTGTTTGGTTCCCTTGGTTGGCATTTTTGTTGTTCAATTGATTCCCACTGGTGCTGGTCCACTCGTCGCTCTGGCTCTGGTCCGCTCGCTGCTCCTTTGAATCGATGGATAGTTGAATCTTGTTTTCCTATGTGTTTGGATGATTTGGACCCAAAAATTATTGTAATCCGAGCTCTGGAACTATAGATACGGTCCGAACAGTGTGGGGGTGCAAATCCAATCAAAAAATATTCTGCCACTGGCGCTGGTCCGCTCGTCTCTCTGGCTCTGGTCCTCTTGTTGCTCCTTTGAATCGATGGATAGTCAAATCTTGTGCTTCTGTGTCTGCTGATGATTTAGAGCCAAAAACTATTGTAATACGAGCTCTGGAACTATAGATACGGTCCGAACAGTGTGGGGGGTACAAATCCACTCAAAAATATTCCGCCACAGGGCTCTCTGTATCAAATCACTGGCGCTGCTATCAAATCAAACCGCCTGGTCAATCCAACAATTTATTCCTATCTCTTAGGTGATAAAGATAATGTCTGCAAAAAATTGTGTTCAAATCTGATGTCTACTTTGAGAAATAGAGTGGCTAGCTGCTACCATGGGGGAGTGTGTGTAATGGTTGTTTGTGAAGAAAAAAATCAGGATTGGATGATGGCACTTTCGTGTGGGGATTTACTAGGGAGCCGGCCTGAATTCAAAATAAATTCCCCCCCTCATCCAATTTTTTTTTCCCTCCAGAAAAAAAAAAAGTTGCAGTTTCGTCCCCGCGTAGTAATGTATTGTACAGTACCAGGTACTATTTTCTGTGGCCAGGAGACAAAAAGTTGTTTAAGTTACTTTCCCTCAACATGCTTTCGCAAGGCGGAAGCATCGAATATGGTGTACTTGGGTGCAAGTACATTGATAGCTCAGATTGGCAATTGATTGCCTACACCACAGTATATATAGCTTTTGCATGAGAACCTGAAACTCGCTCTTCGTCTCTGCTTAAAACACTGAGGTTGGTGAGATGCCGCATCGCATGCACCGTGCTGCCTCTAATATTTCGGAGTATTCAATAAAAATCTGAAGAATCCAAGAACATTTTGAGGATTGATGATTTATGGAGAAGAAATTTCCGTACATCGTACGCCAATCGAAATTTTTCAATGTCCAATCAAAGCAACTCAAGATGATATGGTGGGGTAGAGGTCACCAGGTGACCCAGAACGTCGCCAAAGGGATCAAGGCTGTTTGATTTCGTCTTCTCAGTTGTTGCAATTCCGAAAACGGACATTTGCAACAACTTATTTCAACGCCACGTTACTGCACGAGTAAGACGAGGTTAAGTTGTCACAGTATCTACATCAGCAGCAGCTTTTCGACTATGAGTTTCTCCTGTTTCGGCACGGCATTCCCAACGCTTTTCAAGCCAATGGTTGTTCCGAATGGTTCATCCGACAAGGAAAATGATGCCGTCTTGACTTGCTTCCAAAAGTTTTTGGAAGCAAAAGCCGAAGATCAGGAGACATTCTTGTTTCCTATGCCGGAAGATGAAGAAAATATCAAAGTTGCTCGTGTGTTGAAAAGCATGCGTGACCTGTCGGAATCTTTTTGTGCCTTGCACGGTGGCGGAGTAGTCAATGGAAGTAGTATCCGCAGCAGGGATGGCTTGACGCCTGCTCTGATTCATCAGAGTCTGAAACGACTGGAGCCTGGCGGATATTGGGGCATGTGGGTGCTCGCCCAGAACGGTGTCTTGTTGGTTCATCGCGATCTCAAGAAAAACGAAGCGCTTGTCTATGCCTGGGAAGCGCAGGCTCCGAATCACGAAGTAATGGGACGTAACGAATCGGTCCGCCAGATATGCCCGCGTACCGCATCGTCTGTTCCCTGGGAGCGATTTCTTTGTTCACCGGTGACTGAGTGTTTGTGGGAATTGGCAGCAACGGACACTCCGGTCAGGGCTATTCCCAAGTCTTACAAAGCTGGCAGAAAAGTCAACGAAACTCGCGACGTTGTAAACCCTATGTACCTCATCGAGTATTTTCTACCTGCACTTGGAGGCAACGGTATTCCAGCAAAGACTGTTCGCAGTGTTCACAAAAAGATGAAGGACGACGTCATTTATTCTAACGGCGAGTTACCATGGCGCCGGGCTCCTCTATGGGCAGCGCTTAAGAGCCTTTTGCATGTTGTTTGTGTCACAGAAGCCTCGGAAGTAACTGGGAAGAATACAAATGCATCACTAGAGGTCGTCTATAAGTTAGTCGTCCAAAATTTTCTTGCCTTCTGCTTGGACAATTGTAGTGGACTCTCGGAGTCTGCGACCGTCGAGGGTACTCGGAAAATTGTCCGACGTTTAGAGAAGATCGAAGATTTTTTAAAGAAGATCGAAGACATGAGCGAAAGTGTGTGGAAACAGCATTGGTTTTTCCAAGGAAGTCATAATTTCTGTACCATGGTAGTCAAAAGAAAAATGAAAGTTTGCAAAGACAAATGGGCACAAAAATGTGACACGCCTGTAACGTGTAAAGTGGATCTTTGCAAGATCAAACCAGAAAGAGATAGGTTTCACCAGCTCAAGTCTGCCCTTCCTGTGTTGACGAAGCTGGTTGACCTAAATGAAGATTTTTATCTTTTGAAGAATAAAAGTGACACATTCGAACCTACTTGTCGAAAGCTGCTAGCGAGTCAAGAGATGAGTAGCGCATTGTTGGAAGCTCACAAAAGCGAAATCGAAAAAACTTTCATTAACTGGAAGAAAGAACCCCAAGACATGATTGGTCAATTGACGGACGTTGCTACCAGCATATCCAAATTATTCATGGATATACGAAACGATGGAAGCCAATATTTCTGTACGAATATTGAAGCGGCAGTTTCTCTTGTTGTTCCATTGATTGATCTTTTAGGATCGTATACTAAACGTGGATTGGAATTCTACGCTTCGGATTCAAGAGGTTGTGGCGAGATAGTTACTGTGACTCTGTCGATGGTCCTTATCATCGACATGCTAGCTTGCAAGCATTATCCGATTCTCAAAGAGCACAAATTGGGAATCGATCCAACGTTTTTGCAGTATGTCTTCGTACCTACCGTGGCCAGCAAGAAGTTGCTTTGCGAACTCGAGAGGTACATAAACAGAAGAAACACCGAGTCATGTTACCCGAGCAGTATTGAACCGAGGCGATCGAAAGAAAGCCTAAGCGTTAGATTTGCTTCACAAGACGCGTTGATGAGATCGACGTTGACGAAAATTCAAGAGAAATGCAAAGCGAACCAAGAAGCAAAAACAGTGGAACATGAATGTCAAATGGCGTATCACGACGATCTGCAGAACCAGATTCGAAAAGAAGGTTCGTGCTCCTGCTATTGGGAACACTATCAAAACAGAAAGTATCATCACAAGTGCCGCAAGTGCAATCTCGAAAAAGAGGCCAAGGAAATAGAGCTCAGTTTTTACGAGCAGTTACTGCCTCCGGACGAAATCCATCAGCTTGCGGTTGTTTTCGAACTTAAGCAGCCCTACCTGCTCGTTGCTCAGAGACGGGCAATTCTTTTTATGAGCGAAGAAATTTGTTGCGACAAATGGTATGACGTAACGGATCGCTATCTATGGTCCGAAGAATCTAGATTGTTTGAATGGTCAGACATAGCAAATCTTCCCTTCGAGATTTGTGAACTAGGATCGACAAGGAAAAAGTTTTCTCAAAGTCATTACAATTGTAAAGACCATGTTACGAGTCAAGTGTCTTTCATAGTGACTCATGACTTTAAAACAGAGTTGATGGGCTCCGGCGGTTTAGCAAAAGACGACTTCCAGTGGAACATCAAGCCTAATCTTTTTTCTGTTGAACTCGACGCAAAATCTCCTTACAAAAATTTAGAGAAGTTTTTCAATATCTTTTCTCATTGTGAAAATGAAATCATTGCATTGAAGAGCGAGGCTTCCGAAGATCTTTCATTGATCGAGTTTGAGAAAGCAGGCACGCTACGCCCTGGTGCACGTCACCAGCTAATACGTTTATCTTCAAGCTTGGCACAAGGAGACATCGCTCTTAAGAGGGCAGAAATAGTTTCTTTGATTTCTTCTACAATTTGGCAGGCGGGGCCTCCATCACAACCGAATGAGGTTCTCCTATCCGTCGATCGAATTAGAACTATGGAAACTTTTTATGTTGGCATCGACAGCAGTCCGAAATTCTACAAGACCCAAAATTTGCTGCGAATCTCTGCTGTCTTTTGCAAGCCACACTAGACGGTTGCTCGAGCAACTGGGCAAATCAGGAAATTTTACTCAATGTAACTCATGTTGCAATGCATGTTTTTGAACATATTCTCGACGGCTGCATGTTTGACCCTGCAACTGTACCAGATATTGTGAACGTTATCAAGAAATGCCGACGGATGGCCAAAAAATGGATTGAAAACCTTACGAATTCTTTTAATTTGTCGATAGAAGACACCGAAAAACAGAGATTGCGATCAAGAATTGCTTTTGTCGCTGCTACAGGATCATTGACCTTTGGCAACTCGGCTGCCCTTCTCCATACGAATGATGACATTGCAGTGTGGATCTATTTCCGAGCAATATTCAATGCCAATCATTCACCCGCCGAGATGGTACACAAATCGAACAATCGGCAACTTTTTCTTCATGCACATGCTGTTGCCGAAATAGTCGAACAGGGTTTACTCTGTCTGCTTGGAACTGACAATACGGGCTTAACCAAATTTTTGGAGTTATATAATTTTCCTTCAAACATTAATGGAAATTGGATACGGCACGAGGCCCGGCGTTGGTTTCATATTACAAATGATGCGGGTGATAAATTACAAGTCGAAATCACTACTGGTGATTTTCTTGTTAACGGACTCCCCCCAGATAATCTTCCACGATCGATCACCTCTCATGAAATATACTCTCGGCTGTTCGGAAGATCCACATTTATGGTGATAAAGATTGGGAACTCAGGATACCGCACCTCGTCAAAGGTGAATGGTTTTTTCTACGAATTTTATCCGCCTCGTCAAGATAGATTCGGCGAAGCACCAATCATAATTCAGTGTAATGAGGCCTTGCGTGCAATTCTTGTGCCCTGGAAATTCTTCAATGGCGACCTACCTGACGGACTGGTGAACGGGTATAGCCATTGGTTTATCCTAGGTTCGCTAAACAACCAAATCATCCCAAATTCTATCTACTTTCGTCCCACGAGGTATGGAATGGAAATTTCTCCTACACATACAGATATTTGTTCCCATTTTATTGATACCACGTGTTTTATCTTGGATTGCAATCGACGTTCAGTATTCGAAAGGCGGTCAAACAAATATTTCCTAGATATAAAGAGTGAGACGTTTTGCGAGTTATTCTCAACAGTGTTCTCACGGTTGTCGCCCAAGCCCAGAATACATATGTTAGTTTCGATTGAAAATCGCAGAGAAAAATGTATTGGCGGAATTCGAATCAAGATACCAATGCTACAGAATATTCGATTCACATTCGATACTGATTCAGGTGTGATTCACTCTGATGACTTTCGTGGCTTTACAATTTCCGAGAAACAAAACTTTGGATCTTTGGTCGCAATGAAGCATGGATTGCTTTTGAAACACGATCTAACTTCAGAAAATAGCGTCTTTCTATGTCCGCATGGTAAAGTAAATCGCTTGGATGGATCAGTCTCAATCGATGTCGAACGCGTCAGGTCGCCTGCATTTTTCCGTTTCGAGATTCGACCAAAATTGAAAATGCTTCGCTCTTCTACTAGAGAAAGAATCTCAAACTTATTTCTGGCCCAGCTTCATGCAACTTCATCTGGGATTTTCGCTGATCCTTTTACATGCACGAGTGGGACTCAGAGGGCACTTACAATCTTACGTTCAGGTCACTGCTCTGGGAACTTGATCAACACGTTGGATGAAAAAGAGACAACAGAATCGCTTTTGAACGAAGGTCGAATTCTGTGTGAGATTGCTTGTATATCTCCTAAAAGAGAAAGTTATCACGATATGGAAATAAACAATATATCTTCGTTGGACTATGATGCCCTTTGCGCAAGATCTGCCCTGGCTTTTCTTGTGAAAATTCAGCTAAAAAATCTGGATGATGCTCTAAAGGTCATTGGAAAAGAACAAACCGATCTCTCCTATTTGAACGAGCAGCAAGATAAAGATGTATTAGCTAGGACGTCATCACTATCGCAACGTGCGTACATCCAACAAAGAGAAATGCATGCGAAAGACTCCATATTGAATCGGGAAGAAGAGAAGGAAATATTTGGGAGCACGGTGTCAAATGGTGCAACATTCCTTGTATTACCTCTCGGTTTCAATCATAGAAAGTCGATTAGTTGCCTTGTGCAAAACCTTGCGTTTGAACTACACACCGAATGTTTCAATCAGACGAATTCATGCTGTCTTTTCTCCTTGCTTTGTTCAACATCTTCTTTACAAGGCATTACGGAAGCAACTGCTCTGATTATAGGACCAAAACAATCATTTGCTTCCTTGTTTCATCCTCAACATAGGACAGAATTGTCTTTCCACAATATCTGGCTTAACCTTTACAATATTTGCATAACTAGCAAGATTAAGGATGAGCCGGACAAGAAGTTATCGTTGTCCTTTCTTTTGACGTGGGTTTTAACAGAATTTCCGGACGCAGTTGTGTTTTTGCAGCAACTATCGATCATTGCAACGTTTCCTGAAACATTCCCGCCAGCTTTGCCGTACACCGAATTTGTCAAGCCAGGCGAAATGGATTATCAAGCAGGTACTATACATAAAGTAATCGATTCTCATTTGCGGAAATTTCACGAAATCGAGCCTTCTTGCAGTTGCGAGAACACGAGATGGAGGAAAAGACGGGATGATCACAATAAAAAGCGTCAAAAGGACATGAATGCATTGGAATCTCTAATTCGATCGCAGTGGTGTAATGGTGAGTGGTGTAAAGATTTTTCTAGGTTTTCACTGTCACTGAGGAATGTAGATTCATTTACAAAAGAAGTACACGCACTTTTCGACAGGTGGAAAAAAGCTGACGAACTGCACAAATTTATCACCGAGGTCACAAGGTGCATTAAAGGAATATCTCCAGACAAATGTCAGTCATTTGTTGAATTGGATCGAGACAACGATTCCTTCTGGAAAAAAGACCATGTTTTACCGACAAGTCTTAGCCCAGAAAATATGGTGGTTGAGAGTTGTCCACAAGATTTATTGATGGATCTCGATCCTTACACATTTTTGGTCGGCTCGTTACACCACAAAAGTGAGAGTTATAGTCAATCCGATCAACTCAGTCGTCTGTTATCTCTGGATTGCAGCAAGTTTGTCAGAGATCATCAGGATTACAAACAAGTTTGGGATGCTTTAGTGAAGCCTTTGGAAGAAAGTTGGTCCCTCGCTTGCAATGATAGAAAAGAAATGATTGAGACTTTTGACTCAAAAATGAAAGGCGTCGAAAAGGAGTTGCAATGCTACCTGGAAAGAGCAGAAAAAGTGTATTCGAAGTGTTTAAGATATGTTACTCGTTTGAACCAGCATGGGACAGATGGAAACAATATTATACAGTTACAAAACTACGTTGGTCTTTGGAACAGTTCGGGTCCCTATGATCTGATTCAGCACTGTCTAGAGGAATCGACCAATGAATCCACGAAAAAAAGTTTGATAAAAAAAAGTTTGATAGTGTTTGCCATGTCGATCAAGCATGTCCAAAGAGCACGTCGTTGTCTGCGACTTCTTCTTGGTAAAATTGCAGGCCGTCGTAAGCACTTACTAAGTGATCTGTCGATTAGATTTATGCGCTCAAACCCAGGACTAAATGAATCCTGGGATGCATACGACCACCCCGAGTTTTTGATCTTTGAAATTGATAATGATGTTGGTATAAGAGACACACAAGCTCGAGTAGCCTTTGAAATCCTTGAAGGAAAGAGGAGCGACACTCTAAACACAAGCAATCGTCTGATACAACTCAATATGGGGGAAGGCAAAACTGCAGTTATTATGCCAATCGTGTTAGCTCGTGCTGCTCGTGGTGATAAGTTGGTGCGAGCATCTGTGCTTTCGTCACTCTATGCGACAAATGCAAGTGATTGGCAATATAAGCTTGGCGGATTATTAAATCGTCGGATTTATCCCATGTTTTGTCGACGCGATATACCGATAGGAAAATATGAAGCAAATCTAATGCTCCAAAGGTGCGAAAAGATTCGTGAAGGAAGACATGTTATTGTTACAGTTCCGGAGCATCGACTGTCACTTGAGAACAAGTCTCTTGAGCTAGCTTCGGAATTTACAATTGCTTCTGACTTGAATGCGAGCCAAAGTCTTCACAATCTCAACGCCTATCTATGGAAGAACGCACGGGATTTTCTAGATGAATCCGACGAAATACTTTCGCCTAAGTATCAATTAATATATACATTGGGTTCACCATGTGACTTGGATGGAGCGCAGTTAAGATGGGAGATTCATTCATGCATTTATGAATCCCTTAATCGCCACGCATCATCCTTGCTGGAAAAGTTTGGCTCTGATACAATCGAATTGGGGAGAAATCCTTCAACTGGAAGACGTAGCGAATATTGCGGGTTCCGACTGTTGGAAGGGTCTCAGAGATGCGATGAGGTATACAACGAAATTAAGAAAATCGTCGTTAACGATATTCTTAGCGGTGAATCAAATTTGAAAATTCGTTTGATGCGAGAAGAAAAAATAAAGTGGAAAAGATGTGTCGACGGTGAAGGAAATGGAAATGATTTAGATGGATTGCCGGCCTCTGCGAAAGTACTTGCTTTATGTTTACGAGGGATGCTTCAACATGATGTATTAAAATCAATTCTATTTAAGCGTTGGCGAGTACAATACGGCAATCACCCAACGAGAAAACGATTTGATATGGCTGTACCGTATCGAGCAAAAGATGTAGCTGCCGAGCGGACCGAATTCGGTCATCCAGATGTTGGGCTCTCCCTAACTTTTGCGCATTATTTTCAAGCAGGGCTCCAAGAACAACAATTGCGCCATGTATTTGAGAAATTGCAACGCATGAACAATTCTGACGCCAAGGCTGAATATAGCAGTTGGGTTGAATCGGAAGAAATGGAGGGCATTTCATCATATGATGGAGTCAACATTGAAGACACTGTGATGTTTAAAACCAAGCTTTTTCCGTGTTTCAGAAAGAACATGCGGGTGATTCGATTCTGGCTTTTCAAGCTCATCCTTCCAGTGCAGGCGAAGCAGTTCCCTTTAAAGCTATTATCTACGGCTCCTGAATTATGCCGTAGCCCGCAACTTGGCGAGCATTGGACTGCTGTAACTACAGGTTTCTCTGGAACGGACGATCTTAGTCTCCTCTTACCACCAACAATTGTTCAGGAAAATATTGAAAGTCTGAAGATGACGAATGGCGTTCAACTAATTAGTTTACTACGCGAAGAGAATAATGACTATTGCTCTCTCACCAACGACGACACAACCGACGAAATAATAAAACGGGTTTTCATGGAAAGGTCAAAGCAATCTATTGTTAATGTTGTTCTTGATGCCGGAGCTCTTGTGCTTCATAAATCGAATCGAGATTTTGCTAGAGCTTGGCTTCAAATTCGAACGGATATGGATGCCGTTGCGTTTTTTGAAGGAAGCACGGTCTTCGTTCTCACACAAGATGGAATTATGACCAAGTTTGATTCGTCTCCATTTTGTAGTGATATGTCCAGGTGCCTACTCTACTTGGATGACATCCATACGCGCGGATCTGATTTCCTTCTTCCGTTAAATACTAGAGCAGTGTTGACTTTGGGGAAAGGCATGCAGAAAGATAAGTTTATCCAGGCATGCATGCGTATGCGGCAGCTTGGTCATGGACAGAGTATAACATTCGTTGCATCACGCGAAGTCAATCGTGTGCTTGAAACAGACTTCGATTTGCTGAAAAGGAGAAACGGGAAGCTGGGGTACGTCAGTGTCATTTTGGAATGGACAATAGCCAATTCTGTCAAACGAATCTGTCATTTGATGCCGTATTTTGCCAGTCAAATGCGATCGACATTGCTCAAGGCAGATGCATACAACACGTTCAAAAAGGAGAACGATTCGTGTCTCAAATCTCTCACGAAAGCCTGTGTCGAGGCGGAAATTCTGGAGCTCTCGCAGCTTTATGGACACGAGCGCGGAGACGACTTTTTGCCATATATTATTGACCGCCATTTGAGCGACTGCAGTTTTATAGAATCTTCAAAGCGGAACGAGAACCACGTGAAAGGCCTCGTTGAAGTACGTGAAAAAGTGAAAGAAACTATTAGAACCCTAGCTCCTAGTGTTGTGCTACCATGTAGTATGCTTGATGAAGAGCAGGAGCGAGAACTTGAACAAGAATTGGAAGAGGAGATCGATATTGAGCGTCCTCCGCCCGCCGTGCCACTTGTGCCGAAATTCTCAAAAGGTCTACTAGATGTGCTTACTTTGGGAAAGTCTAGGCCCACTCATTTTTCTGACCTTTGCAGCAAGCACTTGGAACCATTAAGCGCTATCTTTGGCGAGACTTCCTATGGGGAGTCACCAATTGGGAGGCAATTGAAGGAGACGGACAACGTGTTTGTAACAACTGATTTCATTGACACCGTGAAGGGCAAGACAGGGAAAGAATTTTACGTGAAAAATATCCGGTGGTTCTTGCGATGGGGTTCCCCTAAACGCGAATCCTTTGTTGTCATCTCCAACTACGAAGCAGAGAACCTTTCAAACCTTTTATCTCCCATGACTCGAAAATGGTTCGCGAAGCAAAATCAATTTCCCTCCCTTTATGCATTTACTCCGATCACCCGCCACAACCAGCCACGAGAAATCCATGATGTTTCTTCTGTGTCGTGCGAGCCGCCGGTTGCGGTGCACGTATTCGGTGGCAGTGTGCACGCATGCGGGAAACTTCTCGAGAAAATTCGTAATTTCTTGTCCGTCTTTCCGAGACCGAAAACAGACAATGGCAGGGAGACATGGGATTCTTTATTTGAAGGTGGATTCATTGATCGCGATGGCTTTGTGCTTCCCGGTCACCGCGGCCATGTCGACGGAAATTCCAGCATCAAGGATTTCGATGGATCTACTGCAAGTTTCTTTTACCAAAGCCCCGTGAAAGTTCTTCGAACATTCTACGGCGATTGTCGCCACCTCGGATCAGAGCTCCCTACGTCTTCCGTCGGAAGGCTGTTGGGAGCATCTCAGCTGACATTGGATGCCGACGACGACGAATGAAACAAAAAATAGGGCCACGGCCTTGACTGGTCTCTAAATTCAAAATTACGCTACCGGTATGTGGAAGAAGCTCACGATGACATCAAGGTGTCACTTGTACCGTATTACCGTACTCTAACGTTCTCGTGCTAGTAATAGTAGTTCACCAATCCGTCGTTTCAGGATGAAAAAAAGTTTTTCATGATTTTTCGAAGAAAAATCTGGATTTTTGTTTGTTTTTAGTTCGCGAAAACGTACAGTTCCAAGTAAAAAGTACGAAGTACTTTCTTCGGGGACATTATTTTTTCAGAAGTTCAAACATTGAATGAATCTCCCAATCAATCATCCCGAATTGGGAGATGAATCGAATCGAATTCGAATCCTTTCGGGATCGGAAGCTGAAGAAAATCCTCCATGATTTGGACCAGAATTTTCGACCCACGACCGAATCTTACGCGAGGTACGACAAATTGTACTAGAAGTACCGGTGCGTACAACCTATCCGATTCGATGCTCCGGTACGAGTACTCGTACGAGCACACCCGGACGGTACAAGGCAGGGGTTCCAAGAGGGAAAGAATGTGGCAGGTGCCGTGCGCCACGACTGCTCTTGCCTTTCGTACCTCCTTTCTGCCATGCGGTTCCCACCTCCCACGACCCAATAGGTCCGCGCAGTAGTACAAAGTTTACGGCATCGACGGAACGAATCCATCGATCAAGCAATCATTCCGTGGTGTGATGCGACGGGCGGTACTCGTAGTCAACACTACTACGCACTTGCGGCCGTACGAGCAGTCGAAGCACCGGGCACGCGGCAGTATTCCGTCGCATTGCATTGCTGCGGCTTTTGTTTCGGGACCTAAACCGCACCGCCTGGCAAAACAGGCACTCGTACACCGTACGGCACCATGCCTGACCGTAACATCATATACTATAGTACGTAGCGTGTCACGCCAGCTACCTAGGGCGGAGCAGCCGGGGAGTGAAGAGCGAAAAAGAAACCCAGCAGGACGGCGAAAAAAATGAGGACTAGATAAATTTTGTTGACTGCCATTCGAGAAAAATGAGGACCGGATAAAAATTGTTCATTGCCATTCGAAGAACCAATGCAAGCAACGTTTCTAGTGCCACATTCTCGACGGCAGAGGTTCGAAACAATTTTGGGCGAGCGCAGAAGGACCCCTTCTGGTTCTGTAAGCACTAATGCATCCATGCCGTATCATCGTTCTCGGAAAGAGTCGTGATACTGTTCCGAACAGGAAGAGAGCTGCGGACGAAGGAGTGAACGTGCTAGCTGGTTGTTGGGTTTGCTAGTATATAGTACTACTACTAACTACTACTTCTAATAGGCCATTCATTCATAATAATAGGTTACTAATAACGTGATAAATAATCATAATTGTAGTGTGTGATGTATATAATTCCAAAATTGTGTAAATGATCTAACAGTTTCCTGACCAAGAAATAACGCGACTACGGAGCCATAGGTGCTTGCTTGCGTTTAGTTGTATATCTTGCATCGAAACTTGTCATGACTGCAGTGCACGAGAGCTGTACGACTGGCGGTGCAATGCTGCAGGTGGTGTTCGTCTTGTCTGTCTAAGTGGTTAGAGTTGTACTAATCATCAAAACCATAATCTTCGTGTATTGTGCATGTACGGTACGGTCTGTGGAGGCTCCCGTGAAGAAAACTGGAGGTTGGGAACGTGCTTCCCGCACTCCATGAGAGCTTTGTGCATGCATTCATGTGCGTGAAATTGGTGTGTGGGTGTGTGTATGTGAGTCCGGTTGATCCAGCAATGGTTGATCTTTGCATTCGTTCCCCTGTCTGCGAATCGTTGCCCGTCGCCTGGATCGTTTAGTCTGTGCTGCTCCGGCGTGTGCCAGGTCAGTGCGGTGCGTTCCTGCCTCAGGAGGAGCGGACCACGGCTTCTCTCTGGAGCGCCTTTTTGCGCAACTGTTGCTGGCGTTCTTTTCGTCTCTTGAAGGACTGAACGTAGCTCTTGTAGTAGGATCGGATCCGGTCGCGGACCGCCGAAAAGGCACAGTTCTTGAAGAGATCGGGATAGCCTGATGCCGCAGCGTGGTCCAGGAGCTGGGCCGTCAGGCGATTGTTGTAGTCGCGTTGCTCGATGGTGTAGTTGCGAGCCGAGAAGGAGAGGTATTCCTCGCGGTTGCTGATCAGGAATTCTTCCAGTTCTAGAAAGCAAAGCAAAAGAAAACAAAGACAGAAGAGGGATTGGCGTGAGTCGATGAAAAGGGCGACACCGCATGAATTCCCGAACACAAAGTATCGCTCTGGAGCGTGTGTTTGGTGCCTGTTGTGCTTACCTGGATACGCCTTCCATGAAAACTTCTTGCCGGTTTTGTACTGGCGTTTCGTGGCTTTCTTCTTGGCTGCAATGGTCACCTTCTTGGATCTGGTGGCACTTCTCTCGGGCTTTCTCTCCCGGCCGGGAATCACTCCCGGCTTTCGATTGCGGACCACAACCCCCGAGGACGTTGGGGGTCGTTCGGGTAGATGGTTGTTCGCCGGCTTCTTCTTGGTGGCCTGGTTCATTTTGACGTTCAAGAGCAGAGGAGGGAACTCTAGGGGGGAATGCATCTGCTGGTGGTCCCTGTTGGTGTTGCTGCCCATGTTGCTGCCCATGGATGCGTCCCCGCCTCCCAGGAAGAGGACCGGGCGGGGCTGGCGGGGAATGGGGGTGATGATTGCCGCAGCCGAAGCCGCGGCTGCCAATCGGAGTGCCTCGGTTCGCCTCCGCTGGTGTTCCTGTTGGAGCTGCTGCTGCTTCTGCTCGAGAAGCTGCAGCTCCTGGCGGAACAAGGGATGCTGAAAGCGGGGGAGGTGGCTTCGGGAAGAAACATTTTCGTGGATTCCGAGCAGGGAGAGATCGCGTGAGGGCGAGAGGGGAAGGAGGAGCGGGGAGAGTGCCTCCTTGCTGGCAGAGCCCCCAGATGCCACCGGAACCATGTCTTCCCCGGCCAGAGACACCGTTCGGGTCCGCTGCTCCATGGAGGAATGTGCCTGGCTGGCTCGGAGCGCATCGATGGTGCTGCTGTTGGTAACGCCGGTTTGAAAGCAGCGGTTCGTGGATCGAGCAAGGGAAGGGGGGGTGGAGGGAGACTTGCTAGAGAGAACCGCCATCGGTTTCGGGGCCTTGTTGCTCGTGTTTGTGCGAGAGTGTGTGTGTTCCATGCTTTCGTTGCTTGTGACGCGAATCAGGTGGCTGCTGCCGTTGGCATTGGCATTACCATTGCCATTGGCACTATCGCTGCAATCTCCATAGCTGTGATCAATGGTGATGCTCTTGGGGACGAGAAAGGAAGAAGCGCTGCTGGCATTCATGCTTTCGGTGGAGTGTGTTCCAATCGTGCTGTCGCCCCCGGCAACCCGAGATTCGTGGTTCTTCTCGGAATTCTTGCGTGCCATGCACTCAGAGTTGCAAGACATTTCCTTCGTGACGAGCTTGGAGAGACCCAGGAGCATCCGAGCGGCATCATCGTCGTCTTGGTCTTCGCAATCGAGAGATTCGGCCTCTCCCCGGGGATCCGGGTGGTCCGGGGTCGCCGGACGGGGCGCATAGCTTGACGGGGGTGGCATGCTGCTCGCTTTTGGGGGCGAGAACAACTGGGCAGCAACGGTGGCTTGTTGGTGGTGTTCTCGTTCTCGTTCTTGGTGCTGCTTGCGAAGCGTGTCGCAGATTCGCAGCGCATTGTCATAGCTCTGGTCATTATGGGGTTGAAGAAACAACCCATTGTTGTGGATCACATGGGCTGTTCGTCTTGGGGAGGTGGGAGCTGCAAAGCAGGGAGGAAGCGTCATTGTGCTTGTTCTTCTAGAAATAGACCTTGCTCTTATCGGTGGTTGTAGGACGCTCGGACGCAAGGACTCGGATCGTGTGCTAAAGAGAAACAATGAGAGCTATCGGAATTAGAATAATTGTTTTCCTTCGCGTTAGTATGAAGATAGTAATAACACGGTGCACCTATTTGGATTTATTTGGAGAGATTCTTATACCGCCTCGTACGTACAATTATCGTGTTTGGTTGTCTCGGTAACAGTTTCGTGTTGCTGTTTGTTAGTTTTCTAATACTTCTCGCGACTGTGTTGGAATATTCGTTTTGTGCTTCCGATGATTCAAACCGTACGAGAAAAACATCACCCGAGCCGAACTAAGCAATCAGACGGGTTCTCTCTCTCACCGGCCCAACTGGCACACGCGTCGCTTTCCGTTCTAACTTATGTATCTTCCCTCGCTCGTGTTAAGCACGTAGGAACTCGATGGGGATCGATGATGGCATGATTCAATTCGTGGTAGTACTGCAAGTGTTCGCGAAGAAAAAGGGCACAACGGGTTCTCAAAAATTTGGAAGTAGTTGCGTGTTCCTTCTGTCAGACGGAACAGTATGTCCACTGTACAGGCGTACCGTACCGCATACCCGTACTCGCAAGAGGTCGTTAGCACGATCCGAAGCAACACCGGGAAAGAAGACTTCGAAACCTGCTTCCAGATGTCCACGTGGTCGACACGAAATGATATCATTGGTGAACAAAGTTTTTAGGGCAGCCGAACAACTGGTATTGAGTACCTTCCCGCCGAGACCATTTGACGCGAAATTGCCGTACCCACCAATCAAAACCGCGAGTTTCGATCGGTCGTTCTTCGATACTCCTCGATCCCACAAAAGCGTTCTATCCCACAACCGCCAAGGTACGTACATTACGGTACTCGTATGACTTCGTACGTACGTAAGGACTTCGAAGCACGTTCTCATCGCTCCCGAAACTCCGAGGATTTCGAAAGAGGAGGTATGCGGGATCCCATATTAGATTCGATTTTTCGATGACGCGGAGTCGATGATTCATCATTAACGGTCATGGTAATAATTATTGCTCCGAAAAAGCTCGTAGACTTTCTTTCAGCACGTTCTGCCGAAATGCTTGAACGAGTCATTCGTGGTCATCCTGTTTGTTCTTGAAGGCTCACGATTCCATCAGAAAGTGCTCGGCCTCGCATAAGGAGTTTGGGGACCAAGCACGATTACATTAAGTAAACACTTTTGATAGCACGCGAATCAATCGTACTTCCAACAAAAACTTCCCACTTTTTAACACATATATTGGCTGTTAGGAATACCGTTATCAATTGTGATGAGACTCCCTTCACATTCACTTACCCACAAAAAATCATCCGCGATACTCCAAGAAGAATAGTTCTTTCTCAATACTGCGACACACGTAAGTAACTTATTCAGAGGACTGCCCTGGGAGGGCAGGCGAACACACGATCGAAGACAGGAATTGTAGCCGGATGGTAATTATACTCTTGCTCACTTGTTTTTGTGAACTTCCGGTGCTCACGCTATCAAAATCATCTCGCATCGGCGTTTTCGCTCCATCCATCTTCGTGCCAACATAGTTCACAATCCAATTATTCCGATCCTCCCATCGCTCATTTCCACAAACGAGACTCATACTACAACCAAAACAGACGCACAACCTATTCCATAACATTCCGACCACGATGGACCATCACAACTACAACGAAGCCTTTGCGACTCCTCTCAAGCGAAAGCTTCCGCAACAACGAAACACCGATACCGACGTTCTCGTAACCCCGACTCTTGCCTGGGAAGATTCCGATGCCGAAACGCTGTCGGTGGGAAGCACCTCGCAATCGTCGTCCCCACCCGCAACTCCCGTCTCGTGTCCGCCGACCCCCGTCTCGTTCACGAAGAAACGCCGGCTCGCCGACGACGCTCTGGTCTATTCCACCCCACCCTGCAACGTACCGGGGCCCCTCCGAAGCGGTCTTTCGCGGCGCCCGCCTCCTGCCGTTCCCCGCCTGGCGATGGACCTCTCTCGATTGGGCGAAGACGGGCGACGAGACGAAGAAGACCTGTCCTTCCTGGCGTTCCCAGCCCTTTATGAGGACGCTGGTATTCCCGCTCCATCACCAGAGGACGGCCTTCCAAGTCGGGCATTTGCGCTGGAACCGCGTCCCAACAACGGGTTCCCAGCCCTTCMGAAGCGTTTGTTCCAAGACGGGACCAACACGATCGCCAGCGATCCCAGCAGCAGCAGCAGCAACAACAACAACAACGACGAGGGCCTCAGTCGGCTGCCACGACTCACCAGCCACACAACCGATGTGGAAAGCAGCGCCGATCGGTGGTTCCCCTCTCTCCGCATGCGTCCCACCCATCCGCGCAAGCGACGGTGCGAGCGAAAGCGCATGATGGCCGACCTCACCATGCCGTCTCTGGACGACTCGGTGGTCCCATCGTCCCCCCTGCTCCGCAACCGGTCCGAGCCTGTTGACTCATACTCCGTTGCTGCCTAAAACGGAAGGCGCACACTATAACACAGTACAGTACAGTACAGGGCAGTACGGTGCAGTCCAACGCCAGGATGAATTGAACGGAGAGTACATTTCTCATGGCAAGGTGGTGAAGACGAAGGCTAGTTCGTACCAAACCACAGTGATCAAGCACCCAGACAAAAGCTTCGGAAGCTGCTTCATCGCGGAACTAAAAGATACGGCCAGGCGGACATGACGTTCCGCGCGTTCCTTTCCAATGATTTTGTCGCTCCACAAACACGATTGAGATGCGTTGTGAAACGGAAGCAAACAACGTTTGAATTTTCAAACAGCAGAGCTACCCTTTACCCACCCGAGAGCCAGCCTGCCAAACAATCAATGGTGGTTTGGCAGAATCGGAAACCATGTTATATCATTGGGAGAGGGAGCCATTCTAACTGTACGGCAACGCGATTGGAAAGCAATCAATGCGACTGCTGTTATTTGCAACCATGACACGATCAGATAATTCTTACAGTAAAATTTAAAAATGAACTATTATCACGCAATCAAAACAAAGCATTAATCTCTAGCCATCACCATTTTGCGAAAACTGTAGAGTTATCCTAGCATATACCACCAGTCGGTTATTCTTGGCCATACGACTCTCCAGATCCCACAAGAAGACAGTCTGTTCCTTTGCGAAGCCTTCCTTGCTAACAATGCGCCCAATTTACTCACGCGACTAGCTTGCATTCGCGGATTGTACCGAGTGAGAATGCGGCGGCGTATTCGGCGGAGCAATGTTTGTGAACAAAGTGAGACATCACGAACGGATTTTTGAAGAAAGAAATTTGGTTCTGCCTGCTTCCATAGGATGCTATTGTCGCATAATCATAGTTCAGAGGGATTGTGCCGTCGCGCTCGTTTACTTATTTTGCCGCCAGCACCAAAAACGTCTTGTCGAAATTGTAAGGAGCGACTGGAGTCTTGGACGCCGCATCTTCCTTCAAAATCTTGATGGCAGCTTCCCTAGCTTCCGGAAGGGGCTGGATGGTATCGACAAAGTCTTTGAGAGCCCCAAAATCGTTCGATTGCAGGGCCTGTCGGAAAAAGTAACCCATCTCGTCCAATTCAATCTCCGGGACAAAGGCCATCGTCGGATCTTCGCTGGCGTGATTGCGCTTGTAGTCGGCAAGGAGCTCGGTCGTTTCGAAGTAGTACTTCTTTTTTCCGGACTTGCCCTCCGGGATGGAAAACAAGGGTACCCGTCCCTTGGTTTCCCATTTCTTCGGGTTCTTCTTGCGCTTCGTATCGAGCGTCTGGGCATCGACATTCCCCGAATCGGATGGGATCAGCTGGTGCACCGTGTCGACAAGGATGCCGTTCACGCCCTGCTCCTCGTTCACGGCGACCCTCCGGCGCTTCGTCAGCGACAGCTGCAGCGCTACCGAGAGCGGAACGACCATGATCTTTGCTGTCATCCAGATGTTACCGTCTCCCCGGGCAGAATCGAGGCCGCTGGCGGCCTTGAGGGCCTCCTCGGCCGTTTCGTAGCTCAAGAAAAAATAACCGGTGGCCGACGCTGTATCTTTGTTGTATATGTCGAAGGGAACACCTTCTAGATCTTTACCAGCTCCTGGGCCGTTGACCAGACAGAAGGTGGGAATCCTTGCTAGTTTTGAAAAGATTTCTACTTGGGTGATGGGTCCATCGGCGGCTAGGGCGGAATCCGGGGAGAAAAAACCTAGTGAATTTGCCGTTGCCGCGGCAAGCATGGATGACGCTGCCTGTGACATGGCTTCTCGCCTTGTCGTCAAAAAACCATCTACCGAATCTTCTTCTGTTGCGTGCAATACTAGCGTCGATACCGTAGATGATGGAGTCGACGGTGCCAATAACGAAGACGAAGAAAACCCAGATACCGTGTTACCCCCAAGCGCAAAAGTGGCAGCAACCACAACTAGAGCGAGAATCCAGGGGTTTTGCTGCCTTTGCTGCATGGTGGGACGATTGGAGGACATCTTTGCCGAATGCATGTGTATTTTACAGGAGCACGGTATACCGTAGTTGTGGTGTGATGAGTGATGCCGATCTGGAAGTTCAACTGCTATTCGCAATCGTAACGTGAAGTTCATGCTCAGGTGGAGAACAATCGAAGATTTCGATTCGACATCACCACGGCATGACTAGAATGATTAGTCATTCACGGATGAATGAAATATTCTCCACGTGTCTCTACATACTTCTAGTATCCTAAGACATACCGGTACATAGGTCTACTAGGTACGAGTATGCACAGTAAATGTCTCATGCGCTGATGGTCCAATCGGAGACACGAGCTAGAAAGTGCAACCGAATACGGTCCGAGCGACTCGACAGACCACCCCCTGAGAGACGATTTTTCTGCTGGAGAGCAAAATTCTGGCTGGTTTTTGATGTGGTCCCCACACAATCAATTGTTTGGGTCAATTTTAGATTTAAATTGTAAATTGTTTCAAATTATTTAATTTATTGCTGCTGGTCCCAAAATATTTCCACTTGCTGCTGCTCCCCTCGCCTCCCAGCACCAACAGAACCCCCTTACCCAGCAGTTTGCAGTGCTCACTACTAGTAGTAGTAGTATAACAACATCCCCACTACTACTAGTAAGCACTAATAGCTAGTAGATGTTTTCCAGTAGTAGTAACAAGCACTAGTAATAGTAATTCTCAGGTAGTAAGCAATAAGTTTATCTCTCCAGTAGTGAGGACCACTAATTGAAATATTTTGGGGACAGTCCTTGTGTGCGGAGGGGAGGAGAGGGGAAATGGAGACAGGGAGGAGAATGAAAAAATTGAATTATTGTCAACAAAACGTCTGTGGGGTCTATTTAGTCCCAGTGACTACTAAGTCCAGCATCCAACCTTGGAGCAGGTTATCCGCAAAAACTTGCATTTTTGACGAGAGAATGGATCAAAAAATACCCTGAAAAATCTCTGCTGATCTACCCCCAATTGCATTCATCAACATTGGTGGTGCTGCTTTGGCTGGAAATTAAGGCATGCAACAATCTTCTTGCCAAATCTTATATCTTTTTGGCATTGATGCTGGATTACTACTTCACATGGTATCTTACTCAATTGGTATGTCATTCAACGAAGCAAACAACGACAATCAAATTACCTTTTGTGATCTCAGCAGTTCTTCTCATCATTGGTTGAATTTTGTCATGAGAGTTTTTAAATCAGAGAGCAACATCAGTGAAATCGACGCGCCATAGTTCGAGGAACCACAAACGACACTGAAAAGGAAGCAAGAAAAGCCACTCCGTTAGAGCCAGGCAATTACTAGGGCTGTTGTGGAGGCAAAGCTTCTAAGGGTGAGAACTAGGAAATATACACTTATTTCAATGCATAGAAGAAGCCAAGAAATCCATGTAATCAGCACGATGGGGTCAACCTCGCCAGTGAAGTGAAAGGAGACATTCATATTATGTTAATTATTACTCTGGGCACAAGAAGCAAGTCGCAACCGAATGAGGGGCAAGAGGGAACTAGAAACTCACAATCAGTTAGCGCTTAGAAATAACCACATAGATCCCATCGAATATTGTCCATGTTCCTTCCGATCAAGGTGGATCGAACTGTTGTGGATCTTTTGATTGTTTGTGTCTGTAAAAATCAAAGCATAAGCAGCAGATCCTACCTCCACCACGGTAAACTCGAAAGATGAATGTAACGTTACAAATTGCAATTCTTAGTGAAGATATGAATGCTATTGAAAAATAAGAGTTATTGTGCTGTGCTCCGTGTTCATCGTCGTTCGTTTTGATGCTACTTGCATATTGTGTTGTGGGCGATCGTATTCAAACTTAACGTGCATATGACGCAAGATATAGGTGTCACTCTGTCAATATTCCTTTTTACCTCTGTGTCCTTCCTAAAAAATACTCTCTCTTCCTGAAAAGCATGAATATCTTCCTTAAGATCCTGACATCCTCAATAGCAAGGAAGCAGACTAGTGTTATTGCTTGTGTTTCTTTTCGTCTGCGAATATTACCCAGTCGTCATCGTCGGCGTTCCAATTAGAATCCATATCACGGCCATTGTACTTAGGAGCTGTTGCTCGCCGATGGAGCACCACAATATCGACTTGTGGTTTGTTCTTGAGCACGTGGTATTCGAACTTGGCATTATCAACTTCCCGCTGGATTGTTTTCAACCGTGCTTTGTGCCGGTTTATTTGCTGCATCAGCCTTCGGTTTTCTTCCGCCTCGTCCGTCCAGTTTTCCCAGGCCATTGTTATGGCCACAGCGTACAAGAGGGTTCCTACAGGCAGTAGGGCATAGTCATCAACGGCTACGAACGTGACCAAGGTCCACAAAAATGCAAACACCTGTGATTTCCGTCGAAGCGACACGACCAGCTTTTTCGTCGGCGACTTCTCCTGCTCCTCTTCTTGTTGTTGCCGTTCCCAAAAAGGTGCTCTCTGGTTGGCACCAACCATTTCGAAGCCACCAATCTGAGGTGGCTCAGTCTCCCATATTCGCTGTAATCTGATGGCGGCGGGTATAATGGAGCGCTTGGGAGTATACTGTTCTGAGTTATTTTTGTTGTCGCTTACTATACCTGCGGCTTCTGGTGAAGAACTCGTAGAGTTCCCGTTTCGATTAGTTTGAAATCTAGTGATTCCCGGCAATTTCTTATCCGACGCAGATCGGCGGTCGAGCTGCGGATCGCATTGTAAAAATAGTAGCGAAGGAATGCAGATCATCGCCAATGAATTCCTGCTTCGGGTGCTGCTATCAATGATTCTTGAAATTCCCAGGAATCGTCTGAAAACTGAAATTCTTATAAATCGAACGTAGCTTAACGATTATGGCCACATGTGATAATAGCAGCACAGTTTCATACCCCATAATGGGTCTTGAACCATGCCGAAGAGAACAGAGCCACTTTTTCGTCGACGAAAAAACTCGGAAGAAAGATTCAAACTGGGATTCCCCACCGGCTCCAAAACGAGATTTTGTATGGGAAAGCACGCAATTTTCAACGCTCGTTTTGTGATGGTATTCATGAAGGTTGACGGGCGCGCCATTCCCGGGAGTAACATGCCATCTTCCAAACGTCTGGACGTCGACAAAATTTATATCAGGATGATACTGTATTATTATCGTACTACCGGTAAATTCGAAGAACTTTTTGCTCATTCACTATCTACTCGTGATTTACATGTTAGTGGCTCACAGTACAAAACATTAACAAAATCCACATCCACAACACCGTATGATTTGTCGAGTTGATATTTGGAACCAAGAAACCCAACAACTTATCGAAGTACGATACTAGATTACCGACATTTCAACAGCGAGTTTTTGTAACACCAAATCCAATTTGCAGACAATGTCTTCGTCCGAACCTACAAAACAAGAGCCAAATGATTCAAACAAAGAACGGCCTCGCAGCGCTTCGTCGGCTTGGTCGTTTTCTTCGCTCTTTTCCTCTTCGTCGTCTTTCAAAGATAGATTCCAAGAGTTCGATGACAAGCAAAGGATCGAAAGGCTTTCGGCCTGCCAAGAACTCGATAAGATACTGAGCGATTGCCGGGAACGCCACCAGCAGCGAGAAGACCCATCGAAGCTTGGTATAAATGAAGATAATGGTGACCATCATTTAGATCCCATTGAATCCGTTTCGATCGGCTTGAGAAACATGAAATATTTTGGATGGAGGGGAATCTTGTTGCAAAGGAAAAGAGAAGCGAACTCACCAACAGATGGCAATGTCGAAGTCCAAATGGTTGAAAACAATGATGACGGGCCTGATTTGAGCGCATTTCATGATAAAATTCGGTCTTCATGTGCTAGAGAACAACACGCTGTTTGGGCTTGCCGAGCCGTAGCAACAGGTTGCGGGAAAGATATTTCGGAACTAAAGCGATGCTTCGAAAGTGTTGACATCTTCGATGAAGATGGTATTGATAACAGCAGCATGGAACCAGCTCGACTCCCGCAACACATCCGGGTGCTGACTACACCCTACACAAATTACGAGGGGATTATCGAAAAAGTTGCCGATAGCACCGACGGTAACAACAACGATGTTGCTTCCCTAAGAAATCGAATTCCTTGCCACGATATACAGCGCCGGTTGGGATCATGTGTGACAGCAAATGGGAGAGCACTTTTGGAGCGGAAACAGCAACGGGAACGGTGACAGTAGGCATGTCATGTGTGTAGCAGTTGATTGCAGTGGCCAAAAAGATGGTAAACAATCCGTATTGTAGATCTCATTTTTCCCAATGTTAAATGCACGCCAAATTTAGATTTTTGGTGAATTTAGCTACGTAAGTGGTTTGACCGAGTCCCCATTAGAAGTTTTCTTTTTCGTTTGTGGTCACAGGTGTGTGGCTGCTACGTCTTATGAGAGAATCTTGAGTTTGGTGTCTTTTCACTTCAAAAAATTATGAATTGCATATATCTGGTCTTTCGGTACATGCTTGATACTCAAATAAGCATTCCCAATTTTGATGAACTATTTACTTTTTACAAGAATTGTGATTTCGTACGACACTGTCATCCCAGCTGCCAGAGTCACACATCCAATCTTTCCTCTCGTTCATAAACGCGATTGCTATCATCGTTGTCCATTGTTAGTTCCGCAGTGCAAGCGAGCTCTTCCGGTCTCTTTTTCTTGGTCACTATTTCTACTCGAACCCGACCTGCGCCATACATTTGAACATTCTCCGGCAACTCACCATAAGTTCGCTCGTACCAAACGTAATAGATTCTCGGGAACACCAAAACCATGGGCGAAGAAACCATGTGGTAAAAATCCAGTAAGGCAAATGCCACCATTTCAACCTGGAAAGTGAACACCTCACCAAGATCATTGCGAAAATGTTCTATTGTGAAGAAACTAGTCCCAAAGGCAGCGTATGTAATAATATTCCAGACACACAAGCTGATGATTCTTCGGGTATCCCCTATTTCTTCGTCAACATTGCGAAGCTTACAAGCGAAAGCCATGACGGACAAAGTCAGCAGGAAATAGATCAATTGTTGACTAAGATAAAAAGTCAGTTGACCGCGAGTACGACCGAAACCGCAAACTTGAATCGTTTCTCCTGTTACTTCAGATTTCAATTCCTCCACTCTTGTAGGAAAAAGGATTTGCTTCGCGAGTAATACACCCATAGGCACAGACAGGATCAGCGCAAAGGGACCAAAAACGTGCCGAGCAAGAATTTTCTGACCTCGACGGAACTGCACCACCTTGTATGTCCGGTAGAGTTTACAGATGAGAATAGCAAGGACCGTGCAGTGTCCTAAGAACCAAAACCATTCATAGAGATCGCAAGAAACGTCCATACCGATGGAAAATCTGAAATTCGCATTAGGCAAACTCGGAAGCGTTAAAAATATTGCTGCTATTTCGAATGATAGAATTCCAATTAGCATAATCATTAGCAGCTTGGGTTGTGCCATCGCAACAATCGGTGTTTTCCGAAAACAAGCGAGAAATGCCATCGAAAAGATATTCACGAAAAGGCCGATGCAGTGAAACATGATCCACACAATTAGCAGCCAATTTGGGATGAAGGTCGATATTGTTGCCATTTTCTATGTTTCCCTTTCCCTCGACAAGCTAGATGAGTGTGTCAAATTTTGAAGCGTAAAGTATTTTATTGTCGGTGCGATAATGAAAAGTGATGGGACGTTACGAGGAAGATGACGGAAGTTTTGGTTACGTTCAGTACGGTAGTATGAAGAACAACTACGTAGCTACTAGAAGTAGTGTTTATCATTGTCGTTTCCTCCGCCTTGGAGCAGTCTCATCCGTCATGCAATATTTCTGCATCAGAGTTTACTTTATTACTAACATTTAACCGTTATTGATATTTTTATGTAAACGTTTTTGTTTGTACTACTCAAATGCCAACTTTCTTACTATTTCACTTGCATTAATTAAAGCCCTCAGAAAAAAAAGGTCATAAGACTCTTATTCTTATTTCTGTACGAAGTGCTTTCGCTAACTGTACTTCATTACCTAGAAATCCTGTGCTGAGCGATGCCATCCCTGATTTTTAAAATGATTTCAAAATCCCACCGAAATGAGAATGAATAGATTATTATTATATTCCTGTTCAGATCGGATACGAGCACTGTACCACTGTATAGATTTCTTAAAGTCCTGCAACGTGTATGAATCTCATTACTATATTCATTCTACCGTATATTGGTGGTACGGTATGGGGTTGCCGTCATTTTTTAATCAGATCAAAGTTGAAAAACTTCGGTAAAAATATCTAGCACGTGCCATTTTCGGAGAAATTGTACTGGTACTGTGCTACGGTACAGCAAGTTGAGTAGCTACTACATATTATGTACAGTTCTAGTACAGATTGTACCAATACTTTTCACGAAAACTTATCTCAAGTTAACTAAATAGAACCTATCTAATACCAAAGTACTGTACTAATGATCTAAATTTCTGTGTATGGCAATAGAGAAGTACCACCAGTAGTAGTATTAGTACTGTTCTGTGACCTACTAGTAGTGGTGCAAATCAAGATATTGCACCACTTGCAGGAGTAGTAGTTTTTGAAAATATGCATCAATTGCTGCCTGTCTATATTGACTAGTACTACTACTAGTAGTACTAGTAGTCGTAGTCATAATTTTCAAAACAAATGTTTTCAAATGCATGAAATTACACTTTGGTTCTGAAATTTATCACCTAGATTTCCTACTGGTTACTACGTACATTCATACCTGACCACCGCCTTCTGGCATCTGCTGAACCCACCACCAGCATGGTGACATCCCCTTGCGAAGGGGCAAATCCACCCCCCTGGTGGCTCCATTCAAGCCCTATTAAACAGCAAGAAGCAATCTATCCAAAACATCCCCCAGCTGGTAGCAGTTTGCCCCAGCTGGATCACTGTTATGATTTACTGATGGTGGATCTTCCAGGAAGAGTCTCAGCAAAAAATCTTTGGAGGGGAAGAAAAAAGGATGACAAAAGCACACACCTGGCTGGAGAGAGGAGAAGGAGGGTCTGGAGGACGCCAAGGACTGTAATTTTTAGATATGCTGGTTTGCCTTTCCTCTTCCTCTTGAATTCTGGTGATAACCAAGCCTTGCTGAACTATTGTGGTGTAGACCACAGGGTCTTTAGAGAGCTCCTTGAGCTATTTGCTCCAACTTTCAGTATTTTCCTTGAAGGATAGGGAACATTAAAAAAAAAATCTTAATATTATTTTTAACCTCGTGAGCTAGAAGAGGCACTATATGGCCAGAAC